ATTATCTAAAACCCCTTGCAACCCTGTGAGATTACTTAACTCCTTTTGCAACACTGCATGACCTTAGATTATCTAACACCCTTTGGAACACTCTGAGATTATCTAAGAGGCGAGACCTCCGAATGTAACTTCCATCTCCGAAAAGGACGGGAGCGAGACAGGAAAATTCCTGTAGAGTCTACAGTAGAGTGCCTTTCCCAATCCTTTCATCAACCTGTCAAGAAGTACTCGATATGAAAAATGGGAGCACCAGGAATGGATTAGCCAACACTCATTGGATTTAATTAGGATAAGAAGACAGTTGAAGGCAGAAGCGAATGCAAGTAAAACAAGAGGATCAATAGCGGATGCATTGGAGCAGTACAGGACAACAGCTAAAGATGTAAAAAAAAATAACTAAGAAAAGACAAGGAGAAATTCATTAACAGGATGGCAGAGAAGGCAGAGGACGCAGCGGTAGGAGAGCACATGCGAATCCTTGACCAGACCACAAGGACACTTGCCGGAAAATACGAAGTCTGTCCTGTTGTATGGATGTGAGACATGGAACGCGTCACAGACTTGCATAAAGAGGATCCAGGTTTTTTTGAACAGGTGTCTAAGAAAGTTACTGAGGATCAGATGGACAGACAGGGTCACCAATGTGGAAGTGTTAAGGAAAACAAGACAGATCACAGTCAGAGAGGAGGTAGGAAGAAGGCGGTGGCGATGGATCGGACATACTCTCAGGAAGTCAGGCAACTGCATAACAAAGAAAGTTTTGGATTGGAACCCACAGGGTAAGAGATTAAGGGGAAGACCGCGTGGAACCTGGAGAAAAATCACAGAAATCGATATACAGAAAAGTGGGAGACATGGAATAACATCAAGAGGCCAGGAGAGTTTTAGTTTTAGTTTTAGTAGAGGTTTTACGGCACTCGCAACTGCATACGGTCATATGAGCGCCAGAAGAATAGAGGTGTTACAAGAGAGTAACAAACATAAAAAAAGAAGAAGGGGAGATAAGGACGATAGATGTTTGATAGGAAAGAAGGAGTAAACCACATCAGAGCACCCGCCAACCACCCACCAGAGGCCAGGAAAGAGAAAGGTGGGAAAATAATTAATAAACGAGAACCCGATTTTGCCGAGACCGTCCGAATAGGGTTGGACCCCCACCCCCCTAATTTTAATCGTAACGTCAACCTAGCAAAACCACCAATGAGTGTATTGTAGTTAGTAGTTGTTTACCGGTTGAGGTGCTTTACGGTCGCACGCAGTAGACCTGTGTTCGATTCTCAGGTGCGCCGAATTTTTTCGAGTATCTTGACATTTCTGCCACAACGATGCGTCCCTCTCAGTACTCTCAGCTGTGGCTTGCCTTGAGAAGTAGAGACAAAGCCCGCTTCTTATGAACTCTTAACCTTAGTGGACTGAGTATGATGTGTCGTTTGGGGTGATAAAAACACCTACTTTTGAAAAGATAGCAAAACCCCAGTTTATGCTGTTGCTTTGACCCAGGACCCACTTCTTACTGATAGTATTAATTTCCGCTGGGCATGTTCGCGAATATTTTTTATCAGCGGGTGGTTGGTGGGTGCTCTGGTGTGGTTTGCTCCTTCTTTCTTATCAAACATAAAATGTCGTCCTTATCTTTCCTCCTCCTCCTCTCGGTGCATGTTCCTCTCATGCACCACCTCTAACCTTCAGCACTTACATTATAATGACCTAGTTGTGCTGCAAGTGCAGTTTGCTCGCTTGAAGACCCGCTGAGGTTATGTTTTTGTTTTGTTTTTTCAGAAAGGTTTGGGTTTGTTTTTGTTTGTTTTTTTTGGGGGGGAAGTGGTTATCGAGATATTCAATTAATAATTGCATTTGAAAATGCTTAACACGCTGTGAAACTCAATTTTTTTTTACATCAAATTTCCCAAAACTAGGTAATGAGCTGACAGAACTTAGTAATTCTGATGTACATGTATCGCCTTCTGCTTGGTTGTATTGTTCTTGACTATCACTAATGTTTCTTTGACCTCCTGTTTCCATCGTTTCCTGTGAGGCCGAGAATTACAAAGTTCTATCTGCCCAGTGCCTAGTTTTGAGAAACTTGACGTTAAAAAAGTGGAGTTTCACAACCTGACATGCTTTCTCGAATGCAATTCTTTAAATATCTAGATAACAACTCTGAATAATATTACGAATTTGATAGAGCAGATAGAACATAATTTGGTTTCTGACCTCATGGTCTTAGTAATCGAAACGGCCAAAAATGTCTGATAGAACTTCGTCATTCTAAGATTGCGTAGTGGTTGGGCTACCAGACCCATACTCGTGAGAGACTGAGATTGCGGGTCCGGGGGTTCGAGCCTCACCTCGGTCCGACGTTGTGTCCGTGGGAAAAGCACTTTACACGAATTTCCCATTTGGCTCGGTCCTTTCGGAGATGGATGTTAAAAGTCCTGCCTCTTACATCATCTAATACATGTAGTGTTGATAGGGTCGTTAAACCTGTGCCATTTCACTTTCCATCTTTCCCTAGGTCTGTTTTTTCCTGTTTTACCATCTCTGATCTCCTGGCTGTAAGCTCTCGCTACTATACTGTCTGGTGGAAGTCTTGACAGATGCCCAAACCATTATCATTAATCAATTCGTTGTTTGTCTATGTATTGTAGGCAAACAGAAAGTTGAGCCAACTTGTTCTCTGACTATTGTCTTGCTTTCTTAAAAACGTTCAAGATTATCCTAGAGCACATAGACAATACCACTGTTCTTGGACCTTGCGATTACACTGTGTGTGTGTGTGTGTGTGTGTGTGTGTGTGTGTGTGTGTGTGTGTGTGTGTGTGTGTGTGTGTGTGTGTGTGTGTGTGTGTGTGTGCTGTCCACTTCCATTTGCGTCTGTTTATTTTCAAGGTGTTTGTGTTCAACGATATTGTTCTATCTGGTACAAATGTCGCTGATTGCGTTTGGCAAGATAGCGTTGTGGTCTGATGAGTACAGCCATCACCGTATATATAATAAACGTGGCATATTTATTGTCAGTAGGCTCCTCCAGGACGTCACTGACACAAGAAGAGAATTGATTGGCAATCAATGGGCATTGTCCCTCATGCCAAACATGACACTTCACATCTTTGGTTACCAAATTTTAAAAATATAGACAGCTAATTTGGTCCTGTTATATATAATGTAGTGCAGCAGATGCTTTCAACGCCGTACTTGTCATACAAATCCGCTTCCAAGTAAATTCACACTAGAGATAATCTGGTCCCATCCACTGGGTTTTATGCAAGCTTCTTGTTAGATTCTTTCTCCTATCTTGCATACTTTACATTGATCCTTCCGACATACATTACATACAACAGGTTGCTCCTTTTGAATATCACTCTAAAGTCGTCAGGGACAATGTGGGAATCTTTCCGTTTTCTTTGGTACTCTCTATAAAGGCCTCTGAGGCTATGAAAGTGTTAGTCAAGATAGATTTTGCCTGCATTCTGTCTGTAGTAATGGGACAGCAATTTCGCCAAGTTTGTCGAATAATTTCTTAGATCTATCACAAAATTACTCCGGTAATTTGACAATAGTGGAGCTCCCATCTCCAAGTCATGTGAGCTGTCTTTGCAACAGTCACGAATAACCACTGCGAGAGGGCAGTTGCATAGAAACTAATTGTCTAGATAGGTAGAAAGTATGAGATTCGGTTCAAATTGAAGCGTCGAGTTGGAGGGTTGAAGTAGAAGGTTTGTGGTTTGTTGAAGAGACCATTTTAGGGGCGAATATATTTATGGGTTGCTTTTATTTCGAGTGACAAATTAAGTATCATCTATCCCACACTGATTGAACTAATCAATGATTCAAGAAAGGTACATGACAGACACAGCAAGGGCGCGCTCTTAAAGTAAATTAAGAAACTCGAAAATTCGCGATAGAAATATTTTCTAATAGTTGTAACGAGTGTAAAATAAGCGCACCTTAGCTGTCAATCATAGATTGTTTTAAAAAATTCATTCGTCAGCAGCTTTTGCCACAATTTACTGACTTGGTCTAGTCAGTATTAACGTATTCTTTGATGCCATCTTGCCCTTTCTCATTACACTACCAAACCTAGTACATGTAATAGATTACGCCAACCGCCTTGACCAAATCTGGCTATCGATAGGGTTCGATCTGAGTCGACTTTAGCAAAGGCAGCACTTTGTTTTGCTGTTACCCTCCAGTCTGTGTTGACAAAAGCCACAGTCGTGTGGGTCACGCCGCATACGTGACAGGTGAACACCTCACAAGCTGCTGAATCTGCGCGATTCAATATACCGCCCATTCGCCACTACTGGGCTGCAAAACTGGCACTAGGGCAGTTGAATCACGTGGAAGTTGGAGACTGGTGTGATATAGGCAATTGATTTACTGAAGGATTGAAACACTTTATCTTTCAAACTCAGGGTTTTAACATAAGGTGTATCAAAGACTGTACTACATAAAGGGATCAAAAAGTGATTTCCTAAAATTTTGTCACTTAGGCGGTTGAATCACGCGGCTAGTGATATGTGTCATGACGCCTCGCAATCAGGCATTCGTCAATTTCTTAACATGTGGAGTTACTGCATAGGTATTACTATTAGCTGAACCTAGATTATTTGCCTTAATTTTTATTTTTTTAAATACCTAGCATCTTTTAAATAGAAGTCGAGACATCTGCAATTGCAGAATGTGGTTTCAGAGAAAAATTAGCAAGAAAATGGCAGCTAAAGTCTGGTAACTTCCAACAGCTTCAGAGTAATTGAAAACTGAAGTTCTATATATTTTGTACCTTTAATCAATGTTATTCAGTAAATTCATTAGGAAATGTACTGTTATACGGACATAAAATATGTAAGCTAAAAAACAAAAATTAGACAAAAATTACCAAAAATGCCTGTTTCTTGGATTTCATTATTAAGAGTTCAGAGAAAGAAACTCCCCTCTCTGTAGATAAAATATGTGAAATGAAAAAGCCACAACAACGACAAAAAATGTACAAAACAGGTGTTTAAAAATACAACGTTTTATTTTTATGAAAATCATGGTCCATTATTATGATAAAGCAAATAGGGCCTACATGTTCATCAACTAAAACCAGAATCATCAAAATCTTAAACTATCAGGTTGAGAGAATTAAAAACTCATGGTATAAAAAACAATATGACCATTCAGAAACTTGACACTTTTTAAAAAAAGACAATTTCAGATTTAGATTACATTATAATAAGATGCAAGATCCGCAAACCTCTAAATTTAGTAAAAGATCATCTATGTCTCCAGCTGAAAATTCTAGAATGAAATGACAAATTAAAAAAAAAAAGTAGAATTGAGTAAAAAATGTTGAAATGGTATAGGTTTTACGGATTTAACAACACTGTTAGTCCATTCAAGAGGCTATGGAATAGAATTAAGAACTCCAGTCTTCTTATCATCTTATTTCTAACCATCTTAGAAATATTTTTCTCATTTCCTATGATTTCTAACATAAAATACAAAAAGGAGGGAATGGACATAATGGGAATGCACAGGTTTAAAAAAACAATGTCAAAGCAACAATGGGTTCTCCTTTCTCTAAATCTGATGCTCGACAGTCTCTCTCATTTCACACGACATACGTCCGTTCACACAACATGATCATTGGTACCGTTCGTCCATAAAAAAATCAACATGTTTAATGGCATTAAAGATCAGATGAATGTGTACAGAACTGTATAAAATACATGTCCTTTATTAAGAAGGTGGAGAGTTGTTTGTTTGCTAGGAGGATGAGTGCAGAATATTTACACACAATAAACATTTTTAAGTGAAAGAATCCTGATTTTTTTTTTATGGCTGTCCATGGCATACATAGATCTGTAAATAGAATGGGAGTATTCATTGAAGTAAGGGAGTATCATCAATAAAAAAAAAGAGAGAGAGAGAGAGAGAGAGAGAGAGAGAGAGAGAGAGAGAGAGAGAGAGAGAGAGAGAGAGAGAGAGAGTGTAAAAGAGCGCGACTGCAGTAAGGCAGTTTTATAATAAAAGGAGGGACTGAGAGAGAAATAATAAAAGGAGTATTCCAGAAGGTATATATATATATATATACACTTGAGTCTGTTCAAACTGAAATCTGAGGGGCTGCCATGAATTCTTCGATTTAGCAAGAAAGCTTAAACAGAAGAACAAAATTAGGGAATTAAATTTTCATACTGTTTCCACGTGTTCAATTTGACCAAACTCTATTGAATATATAAGAGAGAGAGATTCATTATAGCTTGTGGAGAAAAAAAATAGAAGAAAAATCCCTGCAGATTTTTTTTTAAAGGTAGATTAACTAAACACAAAGCATTTGTTCACATTTTAGCGAGACAAAGAAACTATCCAGATCACATGTTTCCTTGAGTACAAATACGACATCAGATCTGCGGCTAAGATTATAATATGGTTTTTTCCTCCTCCTCTATCACTACATGAGCAGCAACAGAAATCTACATATCAATCGATGGAATGGAAATCAACTGAATGTGAAGAACTTTATGTATGGCCTCAGCAGCAAAAATTCTGGTGCATGACAAGGAGCATATTTACAGTAATGCAGCACAACTGCAGGGGAATGAAATGAGCGGCCGTATTAATTATAAAGAGCATAGTTTCGGGTTGTGAATCAGCATCAGAAAACAGTCTTTTTTTTCGTATAAAAAGGAATGTAAGACACCGGCACGGTACTTTTCACAGGCAACACTAAAGAAAAAAAGTTTTTGTTCAGTAAATTTCCCTTTACTCTAAGTAAAAAGACTACATGTAAGAGGATTCATGGTATGACCCAAGTCTTAACTCAGTATGATGACTTCAGAAACAGGACCCCGGATGAAAAAAATCTCATCTGTAGTCATACGAGTGGAAACGCCCTCAAAGAAGTCGAGTCTTACAGCAGAGTGATCCTTTGCGGGATTCGAACCCGCACAACCACATAATAAGTCCAGTCTGACACTAACAACACAGCTAATGGAGTACCCCAGCATAGGTCATTCAGATGTAACACAACAGAGAGATATGGAATTTTTGTTTCATTTTCTAAAAATATGGTCCAACAACATCATCTACAAAATATGCCCTATCAACACTATCAGGTTATTTAAGAGGCGAGAACTCAGAGTGTACCATCAACCTTCAATAGGACCAAATAAAACAAAATTGGTGTAAAGTGCCCTTTCCCAAGGATGCAATGCTGGATTGAGCTAAGGCTCCAACCCGCGAGCTATCCACTATGCTACCAACCCCACCTTCAAATTCAACTGGCTTATCATAAAAGTTGTAAAGTCCTGCAGAACTTCAAACTGAATAAATGTATGACTACAGACTACATTTTGCTTTTTTTTGTAGTTTTTCAAATGTAATCGAAGACAACAAAATATATCTTTTACAAATTCATCCAATTAAAAGTAAAACAAAAACAAACAGACCATTAAAAATAACTTGACAAGTCTCCGCTCACTCACTGAGAAAATACAGCTCTGTAGGTTATGACCAGTAAGAAAAACAATAGCAGATCGGTCATACATCGCTTTTGGAAACTACATAAGTTGCACTGTGCTTTTCATAAACATCATCCCTGCCTTTCTGACTCTGCACTAGGGTATAGGCAACAAACAAGGCACAACTCTTTCCCCTATGTCGGGCTCGCCTCTAGATATTGTTCCACTTGATCCCGTTTTTCCGTGCTTTGCGCTACTGCTTCTGGAGTATTGAGATTAGGAAAAAAAACTTGACGTTCATTCAAGCCATAACTCAACCGAGAACACTCATTGTGCTTATTTTATGCTTCTATATATACAAATGGGGAATGAAATCATGGACTGTACAAATGAAAGCAGCTTCAGAATGTAACAAGACATAGAAATTTTAAAATTATATCCAAAATCTTACTGTGAATTTCGTTTCACTCTAAACTCTTTACCCCTGGAATTATTTTCCACGTTTTGAAGGACATTTTTTAAAGACTTTGTGAAATACATAACAAGATATAATACTCGAAAAATGTATATAATATGGCCAAAACTCAGTCAAAGTGAAAGAGGAAATAGTTTATACATTTATCTAGAATTTCTGGGTTAAAATACCTACTCAGGATCCGAAAGCGATCGCATTCCAAGTTATACTTCATGCAACTGCAATCTGATCGGATGCGGAAACCATCCACCCTAGGACTGGACCAGTTTTACTGGACGCTCCTGTCATCCACCCAGGGTCATTGAGATAAGGCACATCTTCATGTTCCTACAATAATTCTTAACAGAGATGGCTTATTCTGGCTATCCTAGTTTCAGAGGCGTCGCTGCACCTCCTGCTGATGTGCTACTGGTCTATTCACGAATCAAATGTAAAGTCCGCTTAACATTTTAGATTAGGTTATAACAATCAGACCATCTTTATGCAGACTCGATGATCAAAGACAATCACCAAAAACAACTTTGAGGCAAATTCGGTACGTATAAAATCAGAAGTAAATCATTAGAAATAGCTGCTTTTAACTTTTTTGATACAAGTTTTGTTTTTCGCAGTATGCCAAGGTGTGCACTTCCGTGATGTACCAGGAATGTTAACATGGCATTGAAGGGGTTTGAGCCAAGTCAAATTTCTCGTAAGTCTGGACATTACTATTTTATTACTATGAACAGTACAAATACGACAGAATTCCGACAAAAACGGTGACAAACACAGATGCTGCTGTGGAACATGCTCGTGATGGCGGGAGTGAGGGACAGTTGGAGCCTTGGCACTCGGTGGTTTCTGTGAACAAATAAAACGTAGAAAATACCTCTTAGTCCTTCATTCAAGTAGAGAGACGCATATTTTGATAAGTTAATGGATTAAAATCTTGCAACGAAAAAAGACAGACAAAAATAATTGAGGGAAAGAAAAGAAAAAGGAACTACTATTGGTGCCCTCCAACCACCCACTTTTCAGAAATCTGTTTGGATTGGAATTTAAAAAGGCAAGCACATCATAATATAAATATACATGAGAGGAAGGGAAGGTGGGAAGGATACACAGAGAGAGAGAGAGAGAGAGAGAGAGAGAGAGAGAGAGAGAGAGAGAGAGAGAGAGAGAGAGAGGGGAGGAAAGGGGAAGACAGTGAGGGAGGGAGGGAGAGAGAAAAACGACTCACCAAAAAGTTTGATGGTGGAGTTGGCAGAGCCAAAAACATTGTTTGCCACACAGTAGTAGTCTGTGTAGTCATTTGCCTGCACGTTCTTCACCTGGAGAGCAGAAACATTACAAACATTTATTCCTGGCACTTTGTGAGACTCAACATACCAGCATTTATTTGTGTAGCTGTAAGGTGCTTCACAGTTGTACTCAGAAGATGCAGGTTCGATTCTGGAATGAGGAAGTTTTGTTTTTTTTAATCGAGTATGTCTGACTGTCTGCTGGAACATTGGTCCCCTGTCAGCCTGGGTTGGCCCTGTCAGGCAGCCTGCCTCCTAAATACATTCCACTCACTGACATGTTTAAATTAAAAAAAGACCTAGTATTCTGACTGCCTTAGTTGAGAACCCTTAAAAAAAAAACCAGCTGAGTATGTTTAGTTTTTTTGTAAGAGTTTTTTTGGCACTTGCATATTTACCTGCCGAAGATAGAGGTGTTTTAAGAAATTAATAAACAAACACAAAAAAGGAGAGATCAGGATGATAGATGTTTCCTTAGAAAGATTGAGCAAACTACACCAGAGCACCCACCAAGTGAGTAAAGTACATTCTCAATACTTTTGAGCGCATGCCGCTCGTGGAAACACTGATGTCTCCACATGTGTAAGAATAAAAGTTTTGTCTGTTCATCAATGTCTGACAGTGACCAGTGCATCTGCAGAGGGAGAATATTTCTTAAGCAGAATAGAAAAACTAAAGCTTAAACGTGTGGTTTCTGATGTGGTGGATGAGACTAATTCTGACAGCAGAGAAAAGTTTCCCACATTTTGAACATTGAAAAGCTCCACTTCCACTTGTAAATGTGTGCAGCTTGTGGGCTTCTTTATTGCTTTCAACATTTCTTATTTGTAAAGCCTCATAGTATGACCCGCTGTTCACTGTGACTGCTGCTCTTCAACTGGGTCTGTCAAGAGCTGGGCTCCCCATGTCGAACCACGTGTACCACTTACAGAGACCAATAAGTAAAGACTACTAATCTTTTTACGATTATAACTGTGTAGTAGTATTTGTCGAGACACTTCAGAAAAGACTCAACATTCTGATTTCTTTGAATGTTACAACTTACCGAAACGGCTAAGAAAAGACTAATACTCAATACATTCACTGTGTACAGCTAGTAGGCCTACTAGAGATGTCTGAGAAAAGACCAACGTTCTGATTTCTTTGAACTGTAGAACTACCAATAAAAGATGACTTAGAAATGACAAATATTCATAATACCTTGTGTACTGTTTCAGTTTGTGTTTTACAAAACTAGCAACTCATTAAGGCCATAAAAGCGCCTAAAATTAGAGGTGTTACAAGAGATTAACAAATACAAAAAAGCAAAAAAGATGGATATACAGTCAAACCTACGGAGTCACTAAGGTGGCCGTCTAAGACAGGTGTTACTGCTTTGTGTGATAGGGGTTCTTTGTTAAAATATTATGGTGGCCGCGGCCGCGTTGGACAGGTGCTCGTTTTACACAGTTAAATTGTATAGAAAAAAACGCAAGGGGGGAAATGGAAAGTAGCCGTTTGTACAGGTGACCGTCTTATAGAAGTGGCCGTCAGGGCAGGTTCGACTGTATAAGGACGATAGATGGTCATTAGGAAAGGAGCAAACCACATCAGAGCCCCCGTCAACCATCCACTTACCTTGAGCGTGTACCACTGCTCCATGGCCTTGAGGTTCTGGTTATCCGTCGTCTGTTTGTTGACCTCAAACTTGTCGTCATCGGATATAGCTAGGATTTCTATGCCAGCTCGTCTCTTGAAAGTGAGTGTTGGTTCGGGGTGACCTATGAGGATCGAGGGAACAAGTAAACGAATTCAAAAATAGATAAGCAAATAATTAAATAAATAAATCATTAAATAATCTTTCAATATTAATGAATTAATGAACACACAGAGGCACAGTATCAGAGACAGACTTACGACCAACTGAAGGGGTGTGGGGGGGTGGGGGGGGGGGGGGGTGTGGAGGACAATTTATTTGAAGCGACCAAAAGTTTGGTTGACAAGACAAAAAGAAAGTTTCCATCCCTGTCTTCTCCTTAAACGGGAGCAGCAATGTTGATCTTTGATAGATCTTGTTTATCTTCCGTTTTGTCTGTTTCTAAAATAGATTAGGGTTTAATTTATGTGTCACATTGTGGTGAAATTAGGCGCTCATGAAAATAAAAAAAATTGAAGAAAAAATAAAATAGTTTTCTTTCTTTCTTTTTAGGCGGGAGGTGGGGGGTTCCAACACCTTAAACGTCCATTTAATTACACATTTCTATGTGGATTTAACTACAATAACATTGATCTAAGGAACAAAAAATATAAGTATTAAGCACTCGAAGTCATCAAACTTAAGTGGCCATTTTCTTGCCAATTTTACGACTGAGACCAGGCGACCCCCCCATCTCCTCAAATCACACATATCTCACCTTTTATTCAAATGGGTATTTTTAAAATTAAAAGCAAGACAAACGGACAAGCTTAAAGACTATACAATAACTTCATATACCCAAAACTTGATGAGCCCCTGATTCAACAGTGTTGTGACACATATATAGTTCACTAGTTAGTTCTTATTTGTTTTTGTTCTTCGGCAGAGTCCACTGGATAGGCAACGGTTCTGACGAATAACTTCAACCTTCAACATTAGTCTAACCTTGGTCTAGGTCATGCTCAGTGTGTCATCAAAGACACGAAAGCGACTCTAGCTTTAAACCAAACTGCAAATAATTGTTGAAGTCGAAAAGGGGGGAAAATAAAGTGCAGTAGACATTTGAGCACACCACTGAGCTCCCTGTCAACTTTTTTTTTCTCTCAAAGACAAGGACAAAATAAGAACCATAGTTATTTAAATAATGTAAACATTAAATGAATTTTGAGTATTAATGATGTTATCATTCCCGGGGGGGGGGGGGTATCCAAAGGGACATAACCTCTACTTTCAAGCAAGCATTTTGAGGCACCATTAGTTACTCCCCCTCTGAAAGTGCACCAACACACCGCAAACAGCTTTATAAATAAGTAATGATAATAACTGCTAACTGACACCTTGAAATCAGCAATATTAGAGATTTGATCCAACCTCTCCGTCAGATGCAATTATGACCCACCACCCCCACCCCTCGAGTTTATCTTTAAAAAAAAAATAATGCCACCATTCCAAAGTCCTATACTTCGCAACGCTCAGACTTAGAATGAACTTGGGTGACCCCAACATTCGCGGTACTCACTCGACGCCTTATCATGTGTGACATACAAACGAGCAGGTTCACTGACCAGTCACGACGGTGAGCTAGACAAGACGCTTGTATAACTTTCTTTTCTTTTTACACAAGTGACAAATATTGATTTATTTTCATAGCGACTCAGCCTTTGTAAAGCACAAACTGCATTTTACAATGTTGACTATTACCGGCAAATTTCAGGGTGGTAGCGAAAGCGAAAGTAGATCTAGATTTTCTCGATCGAGCCTCGGTATCACACATACACTTTCGCTTGCCGCCATAGCCGCCTGTCTGCTTGAAACGTACTCTAGGACCGGGAAAAGCCGAATGATCGCACCCGACAAAATGAACTTAGGGACGTTATGGGATTTGATTTTCAAATATTTGAGAACTTTTATGTATCTTCCCAAGTCTTTCCCTAGGCAACTTACAGATTTCCTCAAATTTCCTTTTATTGCCTACGTTAATCCAACCATTTCAGTCGTAAAAATTTTTCGACAAAAATCCGACTTATCCGACCTAAACATAAATTTCCTACCAATTTCTGACTTTCCGACTACCCTGGCCACCCTGGTCCCATTGAATTTAAAAAGATAGAAATACATGATTTGAAATGGACTCAATATGAACATCATAATATTAATAATAAAACAACAACAATCATAGCAGACTCTAGAGCACTGAGAAACATTCTCGGCATTGCAGGAAACATTATAGCAATGACCACGAAAATCCTTTTTTTGCCAGAAAATGTTTGCAAATAGGTGCATTTTGTAGCTTTATCTTCACTGAGCATAGAACTTTTAGAATTTTTAAAATCCATCAATTAACAAAAAAGTTACGGATTTTTTAATCAATTAATTTCTGGTACACTTTTATATAATGAAAAACCCCCAAAATATGGGACGTTCTTTGGTGAGTTTTGAGACAATATTCGTCATAACTCGCTCATTTCTCTGAGTATTTAAAAGAAACTTGGCAACCCAGTACATTTTCTAGTGCAGAATCTAGTCCTGCTTTCAGATTTTTCATAGCTATCCTATTTTTTGAGTTATGAAGACGTTTATAGGTAAAAATGTTGGCCTTTTTCGTTGCGTTTTGAGACAATATTTGTCATAGCTCGCCTATTTCTTGGAATATGTAAATGAAACTTGGCAGTCTAGTACATTTTTTAATGCAGAATTTAGTCATGCAGTCAGATTTTTAATATCTGTCATACTTTTTGAGTTGTAAAGACATTAACAGGTAAAAAAGTGGCGTTCTTTACAGATTTACAAAGATTATCAGTCATATGTTCACCCAAAGTCATGATATTTGAATGAAACTTGGCAACATAAAAGGTTCTTCCTTGCCAAGCAATATTCTGGATCAATTTGTCACAAAAATGTAAGTAGAGAGCTACTAATAAATCCAGTTTTGTACTAGTAAAAGCATGCATACTTTGTTATAGAAAATAAGATCGTCTCTGTGTATATCCATTGTTGGACAGTGTCCTATTGTGTGGTAGATTAAGATGCGTTCAGATAATATAGTTTACAAGTCATGGGAATATTTCGCATGTGTAGGCTACAACTCATACAATAAATGTAACATATTTACACCCCCCCCCCCCCCCTTCTCTCTCTCTTTCTCTCTCTCTCTCGCGCACGCGTGAACGATAACAATGTATAAACGGGACTGTCTTCCCAGACTGGACTAAATAAGTACCATACTCTTTAATAACAATCTTAATGCCTCACTTTTCCCAAACAGAGCACACAGGACGAGTCCAAGTGTGTGCTTTCCCAAGAGGGGGGAATAGGCTTTCATTACGCAAACACAATGCCATACCACTTCTCAAGATGTTTGCTTTTCTGTTTCTATTCTTCTGTCATGCAATCAAGCAAATAAAAATGACTACATCTATTGTATTGTGACTAAAATGCAACAAAAACGCAAGTTATCAAGGCCCCCGTTTAGTTTTCAAGTATCCTTCCCCCCCTTTCCATTTCACATAAGCGGGGCCTCGTTTGTAGCGCCCGAGGCGACCGATGGCTGATGACGTCACTCAGTGGAAATTTCCAGGCAGTCAGCCGTTCACCCAGCACGCGCAAATGGCAATGTCGCTTTTTTCCTTAGTTACTCCCACATTTTTAAAGATTACGCCAAAACCGCTAAACACAGAAGCATGAAATTTTAAGGGAATAAAGAAAAATGGTGTACAACGTATCAGTCAGTTTGACAAATCACAGCTCCAAAAAACCTTCAAAGTGCACCACATCAACCACTTTCGCAAACGTTTTCGACTGCTTCTAGGATGGGTACAATGTTGTCAAACTGCATACTACGAGATTGACCTCTTTTCTGATTGGCTGCCAAGTTTCATTCATATCCATTCACGAGAAGCGGCGTGAGAGCGAGTTGAAGACAACAACCTTTGCGTTAGTGCGTCCCATGGGGGGCCAAAAATCGGCAGAACAAAATGCGCTCGGTGGGCATTGCTAAACATTATCATACAGCGCAAACACCCGATTGAGAGCAACACAGACTTTGAGTTTGAGCATATGTTTGGCAACTAAACAGGATAGCAAATGGAACGCACCTTGCACAATACATTCCAACTTGGCACTGAACCGTCTGTTCTGTGCTTGGCCTACAGAGTTCTGCACCACACGTGTTATCGGAGCGTGGAACACGCGCAACTCGGCCAAGTGCTCTGCTGGTGGCTTGATATTGTTGTCCGCGACACAGCGATACACGCCCATGTGATGAACATTTACGTTGACCAGTGGCAACTCTGGGCTCTGGGGAATTTTTTTAAAATAAGAAGAAATGATAAATAAAATATACCATATCGATCACCGGGGTGAAATTTGGGTTACAAGGGCAAACATACATATTTAAATACATGATTAGAAATACAGACGTTTATACCTAAAAATACAATATTATACCAAAGATGAAAGAAAAAAAAAACTACCAGAAAACACGCAAGAATTCCGGGTCAGCCCTGAAAATAACACCCATGATGTGAAGGAATTTTTTTTTATATTATTTTTTTGGGGGAAAAAAAATGTACAAATGTAATGTTTTATGTTTAAAATATTGTAACAACATACTGTTTTATGAGTAAAAGCATGAAAGAACATAATGTTTAATGTGTACTAAATTAGTTGCTGCAAATTGTTTGTTTGTTTTAGTAGAGATTTTACGGCGCTCGCAACTGCATAAGGTCATATGAGCACCAGAAGATTTGAGTAACAAACATAAAAAAGAAGGAGGGTAGATAAGGATGATAAGGTGTTTGATAGGAAAGAAGGAGCAAACCACACCAGAGCACCCGCCAACCACCCATTGCAAATTGTAGCTGATAAAAAACCGACTCACCCTGTATTGAGCGACGGGGTTTACGAGGGGCAGGAGGCCACCATCTGATCGTGTCCACGTGATGTTGGGATAAGGAATGCCTGTTGCCTGGCAGCGGAGACTGGAATTAGCTCCATTTGATACCTCAAGTACCGCCGTGGTTGGTCCGTCACGGATGGTTGGAGCCACTGGGGAGAATTACAGATTGAAGACGATGTTTGTTTGAGTAAAGAAAAGCACAGCAAAACAAAAATGGTCTTTTAGTGCTGGGAAAAAGTAAGACAAATAGACAGACAGACAGAATCAACACAGGGAAAGTAAAGAAGTAAGACCTACCAGTTGCGCCCTCCAACCACTCATGGTTTTATGACAAGAAACTCAACGCACAGAAAAGTTTCAAGACAAGAAACGCTTCTGGAACCAGAAAATATGCCAGTAGTAACTGTCTAGATGTAGTGCGTCGTGACTGTTGCAAATGGTGAGAGTTGTAAGTTGTAACACTTGTAAGTTGTGACAGTTATAAGTTGTGCGAGTTGTAAGTTGTGACATTATAATTATTCAAAGCACAGTTTATTCAAATTGCTGCCAACAGTATTCTCATCTCCTTGAGATGTCAATGAACAAACAGTATGCCACAGACCTTTGAAAAGATGAAGGAGTCAGAAATGGCTACATTAGAATGAAAAAGTTCTATCTCACATTTTTAACCGTTTTGAGTTACTAAAACCAAGAGATCAGAAAACGAATGGTCTATATGCTCTATCAAAATAGTCAGATTGTTCGCAGTCGTTATCAAGATATTCAAATAAATGCATTCGAAAAAGCTTGATGTGGAGTGAAACTAGAAATCTTAAATGTCAAATTTCTGATTCTCTCAACCAGGGACTGAGCAAATGGAGATTGTAATTTTCTGAAGTAGCGAAATACTAGATCTTAATAGACAGATACTCTTCGTTCAACCAAGGTCAACAAAAGGCATACTTGACATGTTTGTTTTTTTTTTATCCCCCAAAAAACCCATAACTTTATGTTCCACAGTATAGACACTAGAATCTGAACTGTGGTGTAGCCACTACAGAGGGTGATCAATACCTTGAACTGTCAGCTGCCCTTTCTTTTTCGTCCAGCGGTTTTCCGGTTTCCCTACCACTCGAATTTTGCAGATGTAGGTACCGGCATCTTGCTGTCGTAAGCGTCGAACGATCAGCATGTGGGTCTGCCGGTCGTCCTTACGACGTACACGCACCTCGTATTTTTTCAAACCGCCCATCATCGGATTCAGCTGCACGTCAATTGTCTCAGCAATGGAGATGGTCTGCGCTGAATCTTCATGGTACCACTCCACCTGCAAAGGAATGAATGTGTGTTAATTACACAATCATTTTTCTTCAGCATTGCCCAGCTCCCCCCACCCCCACCCCAAATCTCAGGAGTAGTCGATTCTACACAGTCCACAACCGTGACTCACAAAGTACAAAGTTACTGATTTTGATATTTTTTTCTCTTTCAAGTTCGTCATGGTGTTCCATGACTAAGAAATCATAAATTTTGACATTACTATTCACTTTTCTCAAAAACATTATTTACATTTCATTGTCTTGGAAGCCTCACGATTCTCCACATGTCATGCTCTTTTTGCCTGGTACTTTTAAAGCACAAGGACGACAGATATTTGATAGGAAAGAAAGGGCAAACCACATCAGAGTACTCGCCAACCGCTCACAGAAGAAAAGCACCTTACTTCTAGTCTTAGAAGTAAACATATTATGGAAACCGAAACTTACTCCCACATACATAATGATAATTCGACACACACTGACGAACAAAAAAAAAAGCTTTAATAGGCCTCTACAAAGTTCTCTTAAAACAAATTATATGTTAAACATTCTATTTTTTTCTTCCTCCTTAACTAATCAACATAAGTTTTAATCCTGATGTAATATAGAGAGGTCTGCTTAAGGCGAAATCTGCAGGACAACCAGATTTCCTTCCATTTAGCTGGGTTTTCAGTTTAGAGAGCTTACTGAAATATAAATAAAAGGAACAATTTTCGGTTTACCCCTGTTTTTGGATCAATTATATTAGGTTCAAAAGGAGTACCATCTTTTTTTTTAATGTAAAAAAGAAACGAGTAAATAAATAAATTTCAAAAAAATTTTTAAAGCCCATATAAAACAGTTAACCCATAAAGTAGTACATACAACAACCAGCACTGACCATATTATTGCCCAGCTTGGCTACGGTGCAGTTGAGACGACCTGTACGTCCCAGGGGCTGGACCTCAGGCCAAATCTCATCCACAATCTCGGGATCCTGCGCAAACACTGAAACAAAGACATGCAGTCATTAAGGAGTCTTGTTTATAGATTTAGCAAGGGTTTTACTGCATTTGCAACACAAAAAGGTCATCTAGATGCTAAAGATTAGAATAAGAGTTGTTTTACAAAGAGAAAAACAAAATAAAAAAAGAAGGAGAGATAAGGATGATAGATGTTTGATAGATGTCATTGAACAGTATTTTTAAAATGATTTTAGCAAATTTCGATGTTTCTTTATTAACTTTTGTGAGACCACCCAAGAGGTCATGAGGAGGTCACAAGTGAGGCATCATGGTGAAATCAGGCACTTGTCACAATAATGAAATTGAAGAAACAGGCATTTTTCCTCCATTTTGGCAATTTCTATCAGTTTTTTGCTTTTTTTGCTTTTGGCTCAACACCTTTTGTGTCCATGTGAACTTTACAGAAAAATGTTGAGCAAAGGAATAAAATGTGTGGGGGTTTTTTTTCAGTTTCAATGACTCTCAAGCTAATGCAGAGTAACCAGAGTGGCGGCCATTTTCTTGCTAATTTTACCACTGAAAGCAGACAACCCCACCTGCTTCAATTGCAAATATCTCGACTTCTATTCAAGATAGATTGGGATTTTTTAGACAAAAAGCAAGGCAAATGTATAAGCTTTCAGATGATACCAATAACTCCACATGCTCAAAAATTGACAAGAGCCAGAGATTCCACTTCCTCGTGACACAAATTATTTGCCTCTAGAGTTAAATTATCTGCGGGCTGAATCAGTTAAGACATGCAACAATGAAAAAGTATTGTTTAAAAGGAAAGAAGAACCTCTATAGCTCAAGGGCTTTGGAAGGGACAAAACATGCCAAAAAATAAAATAAGTGCCAATAAGTCATGGTTCTCATTCAGGCCGTTTTTGGTTTTTTTTGGTTTTATTTTTTGGGGGGGGGGGGTCTTTTTTCTTCTTCTTAAATTAAAAAGAAAACCAAGTGGTTTAGCCACTTGTGGACGCCACTTGTGGACTGGAATGACAGGCTGACAAAAGGTCAAAATTGACGATCAAAGTCAAAACAGACATTTTTCCACCACTGGGTTAATTTTAATTCACTGAATTTATTTTTTTTGGGTCTCACAGTTTTTATATCCATTTAAAAACACATTTCCGTGTGTACTTTACAGAAAAAGTTGATCAAAAGCACATGTACACTATTATAAAATGTAAATTTGTTACGTAATTTCAAGGGTAAGGGACACTCAAAACTTTGAAAATCAGCCACCTCAATTCTCATCCGTGGTGAGAATAGCGCAGTTGCAGGCCTCTCACCCGGGGGTGAGTTCACCGCTTAGTGCATCGGCCCCCGGATGAGAGCAAGGCGAGTCTTTGTTCGGCTATTCTCACCCGGTGTGCGTTAACCGTGATACCAGTGTAAACAAACATTCCAGCGTTCTTTTGTGTTGAAAGCGTGCAATTTTCAACAATATAATCTTGTCTGCAGGCAGAGAGCGAGAGAAAGAGAGATAGAGAGAGAGAGGGAGGGGGGGGTGAGAAAGATATTGGGTGATAGAGAGGGAGAGGAGGAGTAGCGAGAATGTCCGGCAAAACAAAATGGCGACTAGCGTAGTTCGGCTTGATTCAAAAAGTAAAATAGGCGTAGTACCTTTGTAGATGACAAAATTAGTTTACCTTTGTGCTATAACATCATTTTTTTCTTTGTTTTTGTCAATTTGATCATCAACACCGATAGACAGTATATTAGGAAAAACATGTCTTGTTTCACGCCGGCAGGTGAGAGTAGCCAACGCAGGCAAGCAGGGGCGGCTCGTAGGGCTAAAAAGTGGGCGTGCACAATTAAGCTATCACAGGCTGAAGATAGTCATGGGCATAGTAAACAAGATGGTGTATGAGCCATTGCCAAAACGTGGGGAAAAACACACACATCTCACATTAGTGTGCATAAAATGTGATGCATTAGTATTTATTCCTCCAAAACGTATACACACGTCAAATATAGGATGTAGAACCTGCATTAGCAGTTTCAGACCCCTTGTCAGCTTTACAATCTTGAGTTTGTAAATTTTGTGCCAAAAATGTTCGTTTTTTAGTGATTCCTGGAGTGTCATTTCCAATGCAAACTTCCAAGAATGTCCAAAATTTAGTATTTTTGGGTGTGTTTTTTTTACGTGTGCTTTGATCCTATGTTATTAGTCATTGAGAAAGGTTAACTTGCTCAAGAAATCGGTTTATTTGTTTGCAAATAGACAAACAATTCGGATTACTTGTGCGTCTGTCGTGTCGTCACGGACTAGGTGTTTCAGAAGACACCATTATTTTTCAGTAGAATCACCGTAGCTGGTTAAATCTCTTTGCCTATCGTCGTTTATTCAATACTTCAAAAGCTGCGATGCGCGAAAGGAACATCGGGTTCCTAGATCTACGATTTCGGTCGGCTGTTTAACATTCGCCGTTATTGTCGTCAATTTGCGACGTGCCGGAAGTCCGAACTTCGCCCACTTTTGTTTTGAACGGGTCATCAACAGTGCCCGGATATAATTGTTTTCTTGAGTGTCTTCCCCTTACCCGCGTCCCCAGAACAACGGAAGCAACGGGGAAAACAGAAAAACGAAAGTAGTCATTGCCTTCAGCGTCCGGTGACGCACAAGAATTATGCGTTGAATGTGACGTACTGGGCTGTTTTGCGTGTTTTTAGGCTACTCTGTTGAATATTTTAGTGAAATTGCGGTGTTTACACTGGATTCCTGGAACAAGAGTGTGATGTGTGAACAAACTTGGAGAGATGGATCATTTCTGTGGTTATAGATTTAGCTTTTGCGCTCAGTGATGACGTTTGGGGTGTCGTCATGCAGCCGTACAAGACTGACTAACGTACAAAAAATTACATTGTCCTAAGAGCAAACATTTTTAAAGTAATGTGTGCTCTCTTTACTCAAACAAATAAACAAACATGTCCTTGTTAATCTGTCTAACTCAAAAATACACATTTGTTCTTTGTTGGTATGTATTACCTTTTTCCAATACATTGTGTCATTGTGTCATCATTGTTATGTACAAGTAATATTTTTCATAATTGCTAATATCAATAAGTTTTCAACATATATTTCATACATGCAAGATTCATTTAGAAGCAAAATACGCCTTTATTGATCTGTGTATCTCTTAGTGCAAATTTGTTCTTTGTAGGCATGATTTTACCTTTTCCCAGTATGTTTTGTCATCACTGTTATGTACGAGTACTGTTTGTCATAATTAGCCACATAATTGTGATCGTCCACTGTCTTTGATATGACCTGGTATCTGTTTCAAAGCAAAAGACACCTCTCCTGGGTTTTTTTTTAATTCTTAAAGTGCGCTTTTATCTCTGGAGGCAAGACTTTTGTCTTTTCCTGTACATTGTGTCATCATTGTTATGTACAAGTCATGTTTGTCATCACTGTTATGTACAAGTCAGCTCCATTGATTTTGTGCTTTTGCCTCATATTTTAGTTTAAAAATTGTTTTACACATGTGTTTTTCTGGTACTGAGGCTTTGATAACTGTATTTGTACAGCCTTTCACTATTGTGATGTGTTGTCAATGATAATGTCCAATGTGAATCCTTTCTTGTCCATAACAATGATGACATGTTCTGTGCACTGCGTCATTGTTACAAAGCTTGCCATTCATATTACCATTATGAATGGAGTTCATAGTGTACAAAGTGTTTGTTTACTAAACAAATGGAATTTAAAGTCTATAATTTGCCTTGCTGCTTATCTGTTTTTGTCATCACTGTTACATACAAGAAATACAGTAGTTGCCAAACCAATAGACCCATATCTCCAAAACCGTACATCTCCTTGCTCTGATACTCTAGGAATATGAGCACTAAATGTTAATCTGTGACTGACAGAAAAGAGAGTCAAATTGGTAAGAAAATTTTTTTTGCACCACTGAGTCTCAAGAGAGTCTCACGTTTTGGCAATTGCTCGTATAGCTTTTGGATCTTTGGGTTGCTTTTATTTTCATTCTTTTTATTTGTTGCTTTGATTTCTAGAACTAAATTTGTTTGTTACTAAACATCAATTTCGTTCATCCTGCATTAGAACTGAACACTCAAGTAATAATTTTCACCACTCCATTAAGCACAACGTATTATGACTCATAGGACGGTCATGTTCACTGTCACAGAGCCACTTAATACTTTGCAGTCACACAGCCAGCAGTACAAAATATCCCATCTGATCACCCAGCCAGGAAAGCGACTGTAACAGGTAGACTTCTCCGTGCGCCAGGTGACCACAATGGATAATTTTCACTGTCGCATTATTGCGCCAAGTGACCGCAAAGATGTTAAAATAGTGGCATGACTGACAATGAACCAATCACAATTCACTTGAATTTGATGAACACTCTGCTGGATTGCTCCAGACTTCAGGGCTCACATAATTTTGGCAAGAATATAGTAGTGTACAGTTCATCGTTTTTATTTTTAGACTGCCAACTGTGGGCTAAGTTTCGGCACTATTCAAGTCCGAATAATGACCGCCTTATTTTCCCGAACGTTCGGAGAAATAGTCAATATGTGTGCTTTGTACGTATAATATCTATATAGAACAGTAAAAAATTTGGGGCAGCACCGCACGACCTTGCCCAATGGACGAACCGCGCCTGCAGGCAAGTCTCACCCGGGGTAAGAATAGCCACAAAATCAACTAACGAGCGACCACTGTGAGACAGAGCAGAATTGAGGACAAGGGGTAGGGATAGGGGTAGGGGTAGGGGTAGGGGTAGGGTTAGGTTAGGGTTAGGCTAGGGTTTAGGTTAGGGTTAGGGCTAGGCCTCTTCTTTATTGTGTTTGATGGGGTGGTCGCTCGTTACGGAAGTTCTTCCACGCTAAAAGTTTGCTACCGGGGGCGGGGGGGCTGACACTTTCCACAACTTTTACACTCAGACCATCAGGAATAACAAGGAGTCAAGGAGATCTAATCTAGATCTAGAATATAACTTTTGTACTGCATTTCGTTGCAACCCAGGGACAAGCTACAACAAATTTCCTTACCATTTCCACACAGGACCAAAGTGAAAACTGCAAGATAAACGAAGCAGCTCATGGCTGCGGTAAAAACATTCAGGAAACGCTTGTCTTTGGCAAACTTTCTTCACCTTCTTCGAAATTACCGGAAGTAGGAAGTAGAAATGACAAACTCAGGTGCGCAGAGAAAACACACCTGTGACAAACAGGTAGGCCAGCGGAGGTGACAACTTGCGCATGGGCCACAGGAATGACAGGAAGTTGACATTTAGGTCACACTCAAAATACAACGAACCTTCAGTAGTGTCATGAGTCCCTGAAGTTGATGGTGGATTTTAGTTTTTTTAAACGGATACCATGGTTTCTTACGCGTTTATTATTTTAGCCATTGCTGTACCAGGTATGTTTACACATCACCTTGCTCCTATTCTGTACGTTATTTCTATGCTGTGAAAATAAAAGTGAAGACTAAGGCGCGACAAAAGTAAAGTAGGAAGTTGTAGTGTGTAGTTGTTGCCTACGCTTCCGTGTTTAGTGTTTCATCAAAATGAAATAGAAATTTTCTGGAATATGGACTAGACAGGCTTTAATTACTCGCTATGTCAACGTTCTACTAGATTCTAGATTTAGATGTCTAGGTACCTGAACCGAACTGACAGGAGAAAGATGAAAAAAACATTATTTACAAGATGGCCAGCTCTAATTTTTCTAATTTCCGTTCTCGAGATTTTTTGATTATTTACAAGAATTGGCCCGCGTGTGTCATTTGTGAGTGAGTGTGCATGCGTTATGTGTAAGTTATGTAGTATATGTGGGTATGTGTATATGTGTACGGTGTGAACGAGGGGGGGGGGGGGACGAGGAGGGATTTTCTTTTTAGTCTTTTTGCAGACTTTGCTTTAGGGGTTACTAAATGCAAAATAGGTTACTTCCAAATTCGAGCAGTCTTGTTTTCTCGCGGTGCCTTTTGAAGACATTTTCATGCAAAGTGGCTATGCGTACGGCTCCTGTACGCATATAGCATCGAGGCTATGTGTAAGGCCCTCCACTTCACATAATATCTTCGAAGTGGCTAGCCGTACTTAAGTACGGCTAGACTGGCAGTCTAGCCGTACTTCTTAGATCTAGGTTTGGCCCTTTCGACTCAAGCCTGTTTAGTACACAGGTCTCATTAGATCTAGATCTAGAGCAATTATTCAGGTTCAAATGCATGCAAGTCAGTAAGGCACCTTTTTGTTTTGTCTGAAATACAAATACTTTAGGCATTGCAAACTAAAAATTTCATTTACAATTCAGCCATCACTATTAAGTACGGCTAGCCTGACAGTCTAGCCATCCTTAAGTACGGCTAGCCTGGCTGTCTACCCGTACTTAAGTACGGCTAGACTGCCAGTCTAGCCGTACTTACCTTAGGCCCTATTAACATTAATAGAAAACAGGAGGTTTAAAATACAAATACATGCACTGTCATTAAGGCGCCTGGTTTCGTCTCAAATACAAATACTTTAGGTTTAGGTACTGCACACTAAAAATGTATATTTACAATTCATACAATGCCTATTTTTTTGTTAAATGGTCAGTCTAGCCATCATATTAAGAATAAGTACGGCTAGACTGCGAGTCTAGCCGTACTTAAGTACGGCTAGACTGCCAGTCTAGCCGTCATTAAGTACGGCTAGCCTCTTCCTAATATCTTAATAAGCTAGGCTTTGTAGGCGGCACATAAACTATCAAACTGGACACTACAAGTGGACAAACTTAAGGCCGACACTATTTCTCCGAACGTTCGGGAAAATAAAGCTGGGCACTATTTCTCCGAACACTCTGAAATCACATCCTTTCCCGCAAATTTCGGATATTATATAGAGTATAGGCCTACCAAAGATTGTGCGTATACAATATGGTTCAATCGGTCCAAAACAGTCCGCAGTAAATATTTATAAAGAAATGCTACAGTTCCAAACGGTTTTTCGCTACAGATATGACGTGTCGCCTATGAAGGGTGCTGCTCTGTCTTAAACTTAATGTGTTGTGTTCACTCGTGTGCTGTCTAGATCTACGGAGGGTTATTGAAAACAACACATAGAACTAGTTTTTTCGTTTGTCGCGGCCGCGACCAATCAATCGTGGCTCGATTTTTTAGCATTTTTTGGTCGGGGAATAAAAGTCAAATTTAAAAAAAAAAAAGAAAGAAAAGAAAGAAACCGAAACCTGTTTACTTTTGAAAGAAAGTTCACTTAGCTTCACTTAGTCTCTTTCTCACTTTTCGTCACCACGTTGATTTGTTGAATACGTTACAGTTACTTTTATTTTCCCTCTTTGACTCTTTGTGGTGTTTTATTTTGTTAGTGTGTAATTTTTTTTCTTGTTACTGTTCTGATGTGTTGTTTCTCTACCATTTTTTTGTTGGGGAAAGGAGGGGGGGGGGGATGTTGCATAGTGTAACGTCATTTAATTTGATGTTCCTACCTTCATTAGATTCTAAATATATAATATATGTATATATATAGATTTAAATGTTTTATGTTAGAGCGTAGGTCTACGTTCCACCAAAACCGATAACATGTACTGACACTGGCAGGCCCCTTAATGTGTGTGATTCCATAATTTACATGTAATATCCTGTACTTTTTTAAAAAAATGTACGCACTTTTAGGGTTAAAACAGGCAATTTTCTTCGGACAGGTTGACACACACCCTTATTTGTTTATTTTTGTGGTTGTTTATGGGCTGTTCGACTAATTTTGATTTCATTCTGTTGTGAAACCTTTCTTTTTTCACGTTTTTACATTCATCTAAAAATCTCTAGACTAGCTCTTGAAAACTAAAATAGATATAGACCCAAAAATTTGCTCCTGTGTGTGTGTGTGAGTGTGTCTGTGTGTGGTAGTAAGTGTGTAAGTGGAGAGTGAGGAGTGTGTTTGTTTTTCGGATTTTATTTCAGCCTTTATTCAGTAACAGTTCAAAGTATACCAAAATAGAAACACAGGATCCATTCACTCCAGGGCTCATGAGTCATTCCTCTCTTTCAGTTTCACTCATTCGTTCAATTCCCGTGTTCTCTCCCGCGGCTCATCCCCGTCCTCATGACTTTCACACCCCACTCCCTCCCTCCAGGCACACGCAAAGAAAATCTCACTCATTCCCTTGCACCCTGCAAACCATTGGGGGGGGGGGGTCGGTGTCGTCGTCTTGTAGTTGCTGTCGCCTGTGGATACACTCGTAAATTCTACCTTTCACCCGCTCTGTCACTCACACTGTCTCTCCATCCACAACTCAGCTCGTCATACTTTCAAAAGTTGCCCACTGATCATGTTTAGTTAGTGTGTGTATAAGTTTGTGTGTGTACATGTGCATGATGGTGGTGGGTGTGTGGTGGGTGTTACTGAAGGTTGTATGTAGGCGGACTTGCCATGCGGTGTTCCTTCCCAGACCAGTGACCAGAGGTAGAATGAAAGTTGGCGCCGAACTCTCCCAATAAATAGGCAAAAAATCACGAGACCGGAAGCCGTTCGGAGAAATAGTCACTTCGCAAACTTAAACCCTGGAAGCGCGCAGGATAGGGCTGACCTACTTCAATTGGGAAGCGCGCAGATAAAGGGCATAAACGATGACCTTTTTTTCAATGGAAAATTTGTGTATTCCTTAGGCTTAGACCTACATGGAAAGTGACGTAGTAAATTACAGGTCAAAGTTATAAATAGTGACCTGTGACTTTGCAAGTTATCTTGACCTCATAGAGCGTCTCTTGGCTAAAGATCGTACATAACAAGAGAGTTCACTCATTCAAAAAAGTGTCAGCGGAAGTCCGCGCCTTGGGTCAGATGACGCTGCCGTCTTTGTTTTGAAGCTCTCTTTCGTTTCTCCTGCTGAACAATAGAATAGCACAGTTTGTAAGTTTCACTTTTATTATCTATTTTCACACAAGTAGAGGGTCATATGCATAGCCACAGGCTTTCACGTGAAGCATAGTCCTGGAACGTTGCCCCAACCACAATATTATATTAAAGTATCTGAATATTCAGACACCTAAAAATATCTGAGCTCTAGAAATTGAATTTGATGCAAAAAAATGCTTCTTCCCAGTCCTAGAAGAATGAAAGATGATGCCGAACTCTTGCAAATAACCAAAAAAATCTTGAGAACGGAAACCGTTTGGAGAAATAGAGGCCAGGTTTATTTTCCCGAATGTTCGAAGAAATAGTTGTAAACGTCATTATAAGATCCACCTGGCCTCAGCTAAAAATAGTGTTATGAGAATAACCTATTTAACCACAATGTGTTTTGCAATAAGGTTCAATGTTTTCTCTCGCTCGTCACGCATGGTTAATCATATCGGCATGTGCTGTAAAAAGTAATCGTTTCGAACCAGAAGTAATTGTCAGAGTAGCCAAAACCCACACTTTATATGTGTCACGAGATGGTGACATATCAGGCCTGCGTCAATTTTTGGGCACTTTTTCGGTCGTTCCTATAAAATGCTATGACAAGCACATCTACAACTGGAACATACTCTGTTCACATGTTCTACTCGGAAGAGACACTGACCATATGGTCTCGTGCTTTGTATACTGCTCACAACACTGACAAGGGTAATCACTACGAAAGGACGAAGGCAACTCGCGACAGTTACTGATGATCACTAAGAATAATGGGCGAGGACAACTGGACTCTGACTTATTGGGTTAAATCCCTTAAACATGTTTGACAGTGACAACGCTACAGTTCCCACACACACATCCCCCCCCCCCCCCCCCCCCCCTTATTTGGATCTATAGATCTAGACTCTAGATCTGTTTGATGCGCGGTGAGCGAGAGATATCAAACCTTACTGCGAAACATCAAATCATGGTAAAGTTCGGGGGGGGTGCATTTTGGGTCTCTCTGCCCAGGGTTGGGTCAGATTTCTTTTTTAGCAAATTAGTGCCTCGAGCATTGGGCAGGTTGATGGGGGTGTTAAACTGAAGAATTGTACAATTACAGTGCTTGGTGATGACCCCAAGGTTCGGATCACAGGGACTGACCCACCGCTGCACCCGGTGGAGGGCGTCATTGTCCAGCAGAAGGACAAGGACGTACAACTGACCTGCTTTGTGGAGAATAAACCGCTCCAATCTGAGGTGAGTTACATTGTGTCATACTAAGTGGTACTAGTATTTAGAGAAGAGAGGTGAAGTGCAGTATTTATTGCATAAAAGTGATTCAACATTTAGAGAAGAAAAATAATTAATGTTGACTTTTCATTTGAGAATATAGGGGATTCAGCATATGGGGAAAAGGGTGACTGTAAAAAGGGGAATTCAGAATATCATAGATTAAAGGTGATTCTTAAAGAATAAATTGGATTCAGCTGATAGAGAGCATGGGTGATAGACACCAGTATTTGAAGAATAACTGATTTAGAGGATAAAAGGTAACTCGGCTTTCAGAAAATAGTTATGGTGAACAGCACAGAATAAAAGCAAATATAATTGGTTGGGGTAATTGGTTATGAATTGGAAATGAAATGGTTAAAAATGGGTCTTGTCATGCTAAGTAGTGATTAATGTTTTGTTTGGGGGGGGGGGGGGGTTTAATCCATTAATTCACCCCTTGAACAATAAACTGATGGATGGTGAAGATTTGTATTGGTGCTACCGATTGTCATAGATCGGTCTCAGCATTGTGCAATCAATCATGATCCTTTTTTTTTTTTTATTTGTTTCAGGTACAATGGACCGTTTTACCGAAAAACTCAACAGTGGTTCAGATTGCCACAGCGACAAGATCTTACGACCCGTTCCGGTGGTCCATCGACAACCCGTCCTCCACTGCCTGGCGTTTGCGGATCCAGAATGCTCAGGTGACAGATGAAGGAATTTACACCTGCAAGGTCCAGGTGGTCTCACAGAACTACAACCACGATTCCAGAGAACTGAGGATTGTCCGTGAGTGTCGCTTCAGGGGACAGTTGGACCCTCTAGTAGTGTGGTCTGTCTGTTTTGTTTCTGTTCTGAGTTGCTGGTGTCAGTGTTTGTTGTTAGTGAAATTCTGTATGGGTATATAATTATAGTGGAGTCCGTTTAAACTGAGCTTGTTTAATCAGGAAATTTGTTGGTCAGTCGAGAAGAGGACAACAACAACAAAAACGTCCAGGACCGGGATCGAACCCAAGCTAAAAAATAATGGTTTGACTTCAGGCGCAGACGCGCTGTCACTTCGGCCATCAGGGAAATGGCGGTAAACAGAAAAAATTAATAGAATAGAATCCCCTGCCTCATTTTATGTATTTCCTGGATTAAATTACTGTTATCGTGTAGATGTATTCCTCTTTATTCAAACAAAGTCAAACTACAGTCGATCCAGCTCTTATAGCCACCTGTTCAATACAGTCACCTGTACAAACTACCTCAGCCCTCTTCCCTCCTTGTGTTGCTTTCTAATTAATAATGACACTTTCCAACACATCAGCCTGACAAAGACAACGGTTCGGTTCCACTTTCTTCCTCGACAATCGTACAATAGGTGACCATCTTGAACAATTTTGTGGGTGGTTGGTGGGTGCCCTGGTATGGTTTGCTCCTTCTGTCCGATCAAACATCTGTCATCCATAACTCCACTCCCTCTTTTTGTTACTCTCTTGTAACACCTCTAATCTTTGGCTTTTATATGACTTTAACTCTTTATCTCCGACAAGCCGCTCACAGCGGCTGGCGGTTGGAACTGGTGAGCTGCTGATAGCGGCTGGGGCACATTTCGTTTACGACGACTTCGATGACAAATTAATTTTCGGAAACCGACTTCTTTTACAGGAAGTTCATTCATTAAATACGGTACTATCATAATTGGTTTGCTAGTTTCGTTTGATTACTCATTTAGTGACGTTTTTGTAATTTTTAGATTTAGTACCAAAAAAGGGCCCCGGCGTCGTTGGTTTGCCCCCCCTCGGAGAAAAAGAGTTAATGTGTTGCAAATTCTGTAAAACTCCAACTAAAACTTGAACAATTTCGACTGTACTGCCACCTACCTGAACCTAACCCCTGACTCACCTGTTCACAGAGACGCCAAAGATCTCCGACCTGATCACCAGCAGCGACATGACCAAGAAGTCGACCGACCCCGCCCTGTTCGAGTGCTACGCCACAGGCCGCCCAGAGCCGCTCATCACGTGGACTCGTCTGGCTGGGGAGCTCTTGCCCAACGGAGGAACAGAGTTCAGGGTGAGTAGTCCTCTTTTTGGGGGGATCTATTTGCTTGTATAAAAGAATACGATTGTACGATTGTGGTCGAAATTGTGGAAGCAGCCACCTATTGTCGAGTAGAAAAGTGGTTGTCTTAGACAGGTGAACATCTTACAAGGTGTCTTTATAATGTAAAAAATATGCAAGACTGAAATGGGTGTTGACTGTTTGTCCAGATGATTGTCTTTTACGGTGGCCGTTACAGCAGGTTTGACTGTATATGTTTGTATAGAAGACTGATTGTATGGTCATAAATAATGTTACTGTCACAATTATGAAAGGCGGTAACCCAGTGTCGAGGAGAAGAGTGGTTGTCCTAGACAGATATGGAGTGACTATCATGCCAAGGTGATTGTCTTTAAAATGTGGCTGTTAGACCGGGCCTAACTGTATTTGTATAGTTTTAATGTAACTTATGTCAGTGGTGAAACTTGCACCTTTTATGGTGTAGCTCATCAAACTTTAAGCATTTTTACTACTAATGTAATTACCTTTATATGTACAAGGGAGTACAAAATTAGGTACACAGCAAGCACCACATCGTTTTATTATACATAATTCATTTAAATTATTAATTAAAGGAGTGTATGAATATCCATGGGAAGCAAGTTAAAGTATCTGAAAGATTAAAACTGTACTTGTTATTTTCGTATATTACATTTGTGCATTATTCATATGTTTGGATAATAAATGCAATGAGTAAGGGACATGTTTTCATTGTTCATAACTCTATATCTTCTGGTTGTGAAAGATCCTTAAAATCAGAACCACCAAACTGATACAAATGAGAGGAAGACAGAGAACAACATGCAGGGGGGGGGGGGCTTAACAACTTTGAACAAGTAACACAATGAGAAGAGCGAGGCTGATCAGGATGATAGGCAATAGGAAGGAGTGTGATACCGTGACCATCAATGTCTGCTCCAGACCTGACACTTGAAGAAGAAGAGGTGTAATTACTTTTGAATTACCCTGTATCTAGACTGACGGATACATTTTTTTCCCCTGCAAATGTGAGGCATTGTGGTGAAATCAGGCGCTCCTCAAAATAATGAAATTGAAGAAATGGGCAGTTTTACCATGTAAATCGAGTTTTTGTTTTTTGGCTCAACACCATTTATGTCCATCGAAAAACACACTTCTATATGAATTTTTCTGAAAAACTTTGACTAATGGGTCTAATGGCACAAATTAAGTTCATTTCCAGCTTTCAAGGACTCTCAAACTATAGAAGTAACCCAACTTTGGCGTCCATTGTCTCACCAGCTTCCCCCACCTCCTTCAATTGCAAATATCTCAACTTCTATTTAAGAGAAAAATGGATATCTTTCTCATCAAAAGCAAGGCATTTATGCCAAAGCTTTTCAATGCTACCAGTAACTCCATATGCCCAAAACTTGACGAGTACCTCATTCCACTGCGTCGTGACACAAATGTGTGTGAATATTGACAATGTAACTGATGTTGTGCACTTCTATGGATGCAATTTCTAATCATTCTATTGCCTGGTCTTTCCTTCCATCTCAGGGCAATGTTTTCAGGATTGAGCAGGTGACTTCTGACCACGCTGGCGTCTACAAGTGCACGGCCTCAAACTCGGCCGGCTCTGTGGAGAGAAAAGTCAGGCTCACCGTAAACTGTAAGTCAAGCAGTTCCGTTGGAAATATCTATTTTTTGCCACGTCTGTGTTTTAAGCAGACTTTCTAGGTACTCCGATAAAACTGGAGATCTCCAATTTTAATTATTCTTTAAACCTGTGGAAGAACCCTGTAAACTGTTAACTGCTTGGATCGTTCATTTGTTCTCAGTTTGATGTTTATGTTATGCAAATAGTTTAATACCCCATCGAACGCTGGGAGTATCCGGCGGTAATAACCGTGTTCTATATCGGACACTGGGAGCGTCCAGTACTAGTGACAACTGTTTCTTTTTATTATTTAGTGCTAGCTTTTGCTTGTTTTTTGGAACTATTCCCGAACCAAGTCTTTTAGTAATGACAAAGCTTTGTTGCCGCTATTTAGAAGTTGAAGGCAAGCTTTTGAGGTTATAATGAGACATAGTGCTCTAGGTTTAGATGACTGTAAAAAAAAAACAACTCAGGGAAATGGTAGAAAAAACTCAGGGCTTAAAGAGTTAAATAGGAGCGGAATTGTAGGGAAATTGTAGCTGAAAACTTAGATGAGAAAATAGGCTGCGTATAAAGGAGGAGGAGTTTTCCGTATACTAAAAGTTGAGCAAAAGGAAATAGGAAAATGAATTCTAATTTCTTTCATGTAGTACAGTCTAACCTGCTGTAATGGAAACCTGTCCAAGACAATTACCTGTATAAATGACCACTTCCCATTTCTCTCTTTTCATTTTTCTTACATCATAACGACACTGTCCAAGCAAGACAACCACTTTTCTCCGTTCACAGGAGTTGGTCGCGTTTGACAATTTTAATTGTAGTTTTGATGAAGCGCTGAGCTGAAAACTGAATTCGCCTCTGCCTTTGTCCACAGTCCGTCCGGAAGTGTATGCAGGTACCCCGATTGTGCGACAGAAGGTGGGATACGTTAAGGAGCTGGTGTGTAATGTCAAGGGATACCCACAGCCCTCGGGAGGGAACATAAGGTGGACCCATGAAGGAATGCCAATTTTAAACCAGGGGAGGTGAGTTGAAAAGCTAAAGTGATTGTTTTGTGGAAACTCACAGCTTGTCAGTTTGTGGACTTATAACAGCTTCAATCTGTAATTTCAGACATTCCCAATACAAATGTTTTTATGTTCTCTCAGTATCGTTTATTCATGCTGTTCTGTTCTGTAACGATTTCTGACTGTGTGATGTCATCAATGTGTACGAGGGTGTATGGTAAGTTTTATGGGATTGTCTTTACTCGAGGATGTACTGGAGAGAGAGAGAGACAGAGATAGAGTGAGAGAGAGAAAGAAAGAGGATTACTATAGGAGCTGTGCGCTGCATATGTTCTTTGTATTATTGTACAGCACATTGAACACTTCTTTGTGGCACTGCGCAATATAAATGCAATTTATTATTATTATTATTTATATGTACTCACTCTCACACACACTTTATATACCCTCATGACTCACGAGGGTAAAGCAGTCCCACTAAGTTATTGTTATTATTCTATTAGTACACACAGATATCAGGCCACTAAGTCACCACAACACGCGCATGGACGCACACACACACACCTCCCAGCGGTGTACAACTATGTACAAAGCAAATTGTCAGGAACTGAATTAATGCGACAGTCTGGGGAAATCTTTCTGATAACTGGTGTTTGTGACCAGAGCGGGTTGAAGTGTCTCGTTAAGTTGTTGTTGTAACGTTGTTAGTGTGCAGAAGTGTCAAACCATTAAGTTGCTACAATGTATAGTCGTTAGTGATGGGCAGGTATCGATAGTAGATACTCGATACTTAGATACCTATCGGTATCGGTACCGATACCTGCTCTCTCTAAACATCGATACCTATGTGTTATTTATTCCAGGGCTGCCAAAGCAAGTGACTTGGGCCTTGAGAATTGTTTGTTTATCAAAACTGATAAGTTTTCGTAGGGGGGAAGCGTTTTAAATGAATCTAGAGACTTTTTAACAAAAAGAGAGAAGTTTTTCATGAAATCTATCTCATGATTTTGCAAAATTCTCACTGACAACCCTGATTTATCCTCATTGGTTTAATTTAAAGTTGCTAAAAATCTGGAAAATTGAATTGCCTTTTTAGAACTCTTGAGTTTTTATTTTCCAAATACTAACATTTTCTGCAAAGTTGACTTTCCTCCCATACTTCACTTAGTTTTTGTTTTTATTCTCATATTTGTGTATTTATTTCTCTCTCTCTCTCTTTTACAAATAATTTCTGTTTGAGTGTCTGCTAAATAGCCACAACTTGTCGAGACACGATTGCCTAAATGCTTGGAAAAATATAGTTGTATTCTTGTCTTTACTTATTACCCCCAGCGTATATTAGGCCTACTAATAGCATTAGGTATCGAGGTATCGGTATCGATACCTGGAAAAAGTACTAGGTATCGACATTGATACCTAAATTGTGGTATCGTCCCATCACTAATAGTCGTATAACCCTTCTGATGGATGGTTCTCTAATACTTTTAAGATGACCGATGCCTGTGGTGTAGCGATTTGGTGCATCACCATAGCATGTAGATGACCTGAGTTGGATTCTCATGTGAAATTTTTCTTGAGTATCTCGGTCTTTTTACAGATTGGCCATGACAGATAAGGTGGAAGTGGAAACCAGCATCCGAATTGATCTAAAATTTTGTCCGGGGGGGG